ACTTGAACAGCCACTTTGAAAATCAATACGGTGGTTTCTCAGAAAATTGGCAAATAATTTATCTCAAAATCCATCAATATCACTCCTGGGCATTTACCCAAAGGATGCTCAATCATGCCCCAAGGACAGTTGCTCAACTATATTCATAGCAGCTTTGTCATAGCCAGAACCGGGAAACAACCTAGATGTCCCTCAACCAAAGAATGAATAACAAAATATGGAACACATACACTGTGTAGCATTACTTAGCTGTTAAAGTCAAAGTCAACAGGAAACTTAAAGGCAAATGGATGGAACCAAAAAAAATTCATCCTGAGTAAGGCAGCCCAGACCCAGAAAGACAAACATAGTATGTACTCACTCGTAAGTGAATATTAGCTGTAAAGTAAAGGATAACCATGCTACAATTCACATTCCAGAAAGGCTAGACAAGGAGGGTCCCAGGTGGGATACATGGATGTCCCTGGGAAGGGTAGACAGTGGAGATTTCCTGGATGGATTGGGGGTGGACAGGCATGGGAACTTGAGGGATCAGGTTGGGGGTGAGTGGACAAGGAGAGTACTGAAAGTGATGGCTGGAAAGGGGGTCATTTGAGGGTTGGGTAGAAACCTGATACAAGGAAAACTCCCACGAATCTACAAGGATGACCCCAGCTAAGGATCCTAGCAATAGTGGATGCATAGCCTGAACTGGTCATCTCCTGTGATCAGATCAGTGACTACTCCAATTGTCATCAGAGAACCTTCATCCAGCAACTGATGGAAACAGATGCAGAGACCCTCAGTCAAACCTTAGGCTGAACTCGGGGAATCCTGCTAAAGGGAGGAAGGAGGAATTGTAGGAGCCAAAGGGGTCAAAGACATCACAAGAAAACCCACAGAAACAACTATCTGGCTCACAGGAACTCACAGAGTCTGAACCAATAACCAGAGAGCCTGCATAGAACTGACCTAAGATCACTACATATATGTGACAGTTGTGTAATTTGGTCTATTTGTGGGACTCCCAACAATGGGTGCATGGGCTGCTCCTAACACTTTGGCTGGCTCTTGGGAACCTATTCCTCACAGTGTATTTATTGCCTTGCCCAGACTTAGTACAAGGGGAGGTGCTTAGTCTTAATGCAACTTGATATGCCATGCTTTGTTGATACCCATGGGAGTCCTGCCCCTTTCTAAAGAGAAACAGAGGAAGACTGGGTGGAAGTGGAGGGAGGGAATGGGAAGAGAGGAAGAGAGGGGAAACTGAGGTCATTATGTAAAATAAATAAATAAATTATTAAAAAAGTTTACCCTTTCCCAAAATGTCCAAAGTAGGCTCATATTCTAAATTCTGAAGGCCATATGTATTTGGTAATTCAAATTCAAAACTTTTGGAAGAATGGTGTGTTTATCTGTCATGTTCTACATAAAGTCCTCAGAAGGTCTAGGTTAGCAAAATAAAACAGGTATATTCATATTTTCTCCAAAGAACATACAAATATTAACACAAGTAGGTTAAAATCAACAAATTTGAGGTGATTCAGGAAGACCAGACACCCAATGCACTTAGACAGGTTAGGTGGTATGCCAAATGAATTGATGCAAACATTCTGTGTTCAGGGCTTCCCGAGTAACCTTTTTTCTCATGCTAGAGATTAAACCCAAGGCCTCACTTGTGTTCAGCAAACTCTACTCCCAGCCCCAGAGCTTGAAAGGCTCACCGTGTACATGACTGCAGGAGAAAGCCACGCAGCCCTTTAAAACAAAAACAAACCATGTAAGCTTTGGCACTAACCCAGAGGAACAGACAGCCATGTCTTGGTGTTGGCTGAAGAAATCACACACACGCGCACACACAACAGTGGGGAGGAACCTCACACATGCCCTGCATTCAACCCATGTGCCCTTCCCCATCGTTCCCATTCTCTAGGCTGTATGTGTGCACGTGTATGGTATGTGCTGTGCACATTTATGTACTTGCTAGGGTAGGGAGAGGTGTGTACGTCCGTGTGTATAAGCCAGAGGTCAGTGGCAAACGTCTTTTCTCATTCTCCAGCTTTACTTCCTGAGACAGACGTTGCCATAAAACCTGAAGCTCATCAATTCAGACAGGACAGCTGGCTGCAGAAGTTCCAGGATCCCCCGTCTGCACCTTGTCCCCCACCATGGGGACACAAGATATAAGACACCAAGTCTGGCTTTTTAATGTGCACTTTTAGGGACCCAACTCCTCATGCTTGTGTGGAAGGCACTTCACGGACTGAGCCATCTCCCCAGTACTTTCACAAGGTTTTGTAATGCTTAATCTTTGGTTAAGAATAGATGTGGAAATATTCTGTCTGTGCTGTGAAGGAAATTTTAAGTATGGATTTATTTGTATGATTTATGAGGCATGGAGAATAAGTTCACCTTTATAAACTGCCTAGACAGATGTCAGGTAACAAAAATTTATGCATGATTTAGGTGAGAGAGTGCACAAAGGAATTTTATTTGGAAGACTGACTGAGGCCCTTTTGTCAGGGCAGCAGACCTGAAGTTTGTAAAACACAATGGGAATTCCTCCAGCAGACCTGAGCCCAGACATGAAGTAACCTTTTCAGAGCCCAAGGAGGAGAAGTAAGAGACAGGACATGGCTGCTCCCAGGGGGAGCTTCTCGAGATATGCTCATCCCTGACCGTCTCTGCTTGTCTGTCCCTGGGCTGCTGATCTAGGACACACTCCTATCAGCTGTCACTGAGAAAGCCAGAGGTGGAGGGGAGGCTGTCCCTGCCTTTCTAATCCTTTCAATTCTAAACAGTAAAACCACGAACACCCCCCCTCCTAAATGGAGACTAGGAAGAAAAAGTAATCAAAAAAGAGAACAGTAAGTCTTTGCTCTCCCTGGATACTAAACGGAAATATCCTAGCAGCTGTCAATAAGGGATAAAAATTAAAGAATCTTAATTAGAGAGTTACAAATTCAAATCTCATGCAGCAGCATTCACTTTTTCATCTCCTGAATTCTATAGTGACGAGTAAAAAAGCATCTGTTAACTTCATGGTTTAAAAAAAAATCTCCAATTTTAAATTATGGACATATCTGTAAAAATGAAGCCAGGGAATGTATACACAGGGCTGTCTGCACTCATTCTTTTATAAAGCACTTTCTGGGAAGCCACCAGCTGCCAGTGTTCTGTCAACACTTTAATGAACATCGGTTTGTGTGCTGGTTTTCAGTTTGGTTTGGTTTTCCATACTTCTCGAGTCTAAGGATATGTCCACACTCAGCAGTGACGTATCCCAGAGAACACAACACACGGGAGCCCCACCCTCAGAAAGTGCGCTCACCTCTGTGGAGTCAGACGTTGAACACTCAGGGCTCATACCCGCTCCTCAGTCATTCCTAAGCACTGTGAGGAAGTGGGGGGAAGGTCTCCACAGCAGCTCTGTGAGTCAGAGACACTCACTACTCTAAGCCACCCTGAGATCACAGCAAGATGCCCTGCTGTGCTGGTACACCATAGGGTGTCTACGGACAGCAGTGGTGTGCTCACTATCGAACAATTACAAGGTGGGTTTTCACCACAAGGAAATGATAAATGGGAAGATAACTGTGTTTAGCTTGATTCCAACGTTACGTCAGTATATACACGTATCAACACATCACTTGATACCCGTTAATACGCACAAAGAATTTCCATCAATGTTTATAACATTAAGTATATTAAGCTTAATAACAAATAGTATGGAAAATAGTCATAATAGCTATCATTATTACAACAGTTATCAACAGCATTAGTGTCAGTAGGTCAGTGAGGAAAAACTTGAGAATAAAAGAGGAAGAAAGACAATGTGAGGGAGGATATAATTACTACAAAGACTTTCAGTAATATTGCTGTATTCAACCAAAAAGAAACTTTTCCCACACAGATTTCACTCACCCCATCCCAGAACAGCGGGACTGGCAAACAGAGGACCAGCACAGAAACACGGAAGGCACATGTTTTCCAACGCCATGCCTTACACGCCCCAAGACAGCTCTAATTCCACAGACGGTCTCTTTGTGTCTATAAAACACTAAAGCAACCTGAGGAAATCCCATTTCAGACCAAGGACAGTCTGTCTCACACAGTGTGTCCTAAGGTCAAAGGTCACTGGGCAGCGAGACACACACAGCTCCACTGAGATTGACTGTTCACTAACACACATGCCACCATCACACATGCCACTAACGCACATGCTA